TGATTTGTTTAATTGCTATATTTCAGGAAATACCTGCGTGAATACTTTCAAGACACACTTTAAACTCAGTTACATAGGTGCAAATAAATCTTAAAATGGTTTTTAATTGCCAACAGTTTTGACTCTTTAGTAGCTCACCAGAACCAAAGGTTCATGGTGAGCTATTAGTATCAAAGGGGGATGCTCCATTGTCAGTCATCATGTGTCAACAATGACGTCTTCTTCTCTGAAACTATTTGGCAGATTTACTTCAAATTTGGTCTGTAGCATCTTTGTGACGATCAACTTGAATTTGCTCATGTCATTTCAATGGGTCAGCAGAGCTAAAAATAGAAAAACCTTTAAACATCTTCTACTACAGAACAAATTAATGGATGATCACCTAACTTTGTAGCATTCTTGGGAAGTCTTTTATCAAGTTTGCTCATATTAATTTCATTAGCCCCTTTAAGGGGTCTCTAGGACTAAAAATAGAAAAACCTTTAAACATCTTCTTCTACAGAACTTTAATTGATGGATGGTCACGAAACTTTGTCTGTAGCATTCTTGGGTAGTCTTTTATCAAGTTTGCTCATATTAATTTGATTAGGGCCTTTTAGGGGAAGCCAAAGCTAAAAATAGAAATACCTTTAAACGTCTATTTCTACAGAACTAATTGATTGATGATCACCAAACTTTGTCTGTAGCATTCTTTGGTAGTCTTTTATCAAGTTTGCTCATATTGATTTGATTGGCCTCTTTTAGAGACAGCAAAAGCTAAAAATAGAAATACCTTTAAATGTCTATTTCTAGAGAACTAATTGATGGATGCTCACCAAACTTTGTCTGTAGTATTTTTAGGTAGTCTTTTATCAAGTTTGCTCATATTAATTTGATTGGCCCTTTTTGGGGCTCTCTAAAGCTAAAAATAGAAAAACCTTTAGACACCTACTACAGAACTTATTGATGGATGATCACCAAACTTTGTCTGTAGCATTCTTGGGTACTTTTTTTATCAAGTTTGCACATATTAATTTGATTGGCCCCTTTTAGGGGCCACTAAAGCTAAAAATAGAAAAACCTTTGAACATCACTTCCAACTGAAATATTTTGATAGGTGATTACCAAACTTTGTAGCATTCTTGCATTAGGTAGTCTTTTATCAAGTTTGTTCATATTAATTTGATTGGCCCCGTTTAAGCTAAAGCTTAAATGCCCCAGGTCATGGCATTTCTTCAAATTATTGTTTAAAGATATTCTATGCCCAAATTTAATATTAGAAAATATTGTCAATGGATAATTACTGAAAAGCAGTTGTTTCTGGTGAGCGACTCAGGGCCATCATGGCCCTCTTGTTTTGTTTACCTGTTATTTTCAATGGGTCAGAGAAAGGGAAGAAAATTTCAGAGATACAGTTATTTATAAAAGATTATTAACTAGGTGAAAAAGTATTATTTAATAATTAATATGTCCATGTGCCACTGCAAGTGATAATTGCTAAAATTATTGTAAAATTATTACATTTGGAACACCTTGATTAAAAGTAATTCTACCATGCGGTCTCAGATGATCATGTTTATTAAATGTATAAATTTGATGTCCAAAGAAAAATAAAGACTTTTTCACTATCATTATGATTGAAAATAATGTCCGACAGTCTTCTACACTTCTACAGGTATACATTTTCATGATTTTGTATTTTTGGTTTCTACAACCATAATTATCAATAAGTATATAAATAATGTACTGTTTACTTTTAAATCTATGAATTTACATCATTTTAATAGGTGGACTTTTACTCAATATATTGAAACTTAGTGCTATGTTATTATTTGTTTACATGTTTAGTTTCTTAGTGTAGGTTAGATCCTTACCTTATGCGAAATTTGACAGAAAGGGCAGAGAAGATGTGATTGAAAAGGTAAGAGTGAACTTTGTCAAATTTTTCTATTCTCCTATGAAATGTGCATTGATTCATATTTCATATCACATAGTCATTTTCTTTGTGACTTATAATATAATGCTTACTTATCCTGAATACACATTAAACAGGCTGGTGAAAATGCCTGATCGGGCTTATGACATAAAAAAATCATATTTCTAGAAAAATAATAAAGATATTTCTTTTAAACTTTGTTTATTGAGCATAATATATGACATAAACAGAAAGAAAAATAATTGGTTACTGTCACTTTAGTGAGAATTATTTCCCCTTTTTCCTGTTTATATGACACATAATTCTTGGAAGTCCTTAAATAATATGTTACAATGTAAAATTCTTAACAGAAATGTGTCCAACATCTTCATGTTGCTCAAAATTATTGCGCCAGTACCTTTATTCTATATATTTGGATTTAATATTCTGTTTCTGGCATAAAAACTTTGACAATTCTTTGACACTGAACATTATACTTTGAAGTTTCCTTTGAAAACTGAATGAAATGTATGCTGACAGGTGTTGGCGCAATAAATTGGATCATAAAGAAGTTATTTAACCTATTTTGTTTTATACTTTGTATATGCAAGCAGCAACATATTTTTTAAGGATTTGGAAAGTTATGTGTTATATAAATATGAAAAAGGGAAAATAATTCTCACGAAAGTGACAGTTACCATTATTATTTTTCTATCTGTTTATACTATACATTATGCTCAATAAACAAACAAAGTTTTAAAGAAACATCTTCATTATTTTTCTAGAAATATGATTTTTTATGTCATAAGCCCGATCGGGCATTTCGACCAGCCTGTTAAAGTTGGGGAAAAGGGGTGGGGCGTATGTGCCACACTAAAATTTCTTGTTTTTAGCTCACCTGAGCACAACATGCTCGTGGTAAGCTATTGTAATCCCCCACCATCCATCGTCGTGCTTTGTCAATTCTTTAATCTTCTCTGAAACCAATGATTGCACAGTAACCAAACTTTACAGGAATGATCCTTGGGTGGTCCCCTGCCAAAGTTGTTCAAATGGTTCTGGTCTATTGCATAAGTAGGTCAGGGGGCCAGAAAAGGAGTTTCAAAAATGAATTCTTAAAAATTATTGTCTTGTCATAGGTTTTTCTTAAATGACTATAATTATATTAAAAACTTTTAAAAAAAACTTCTCCTCTGAATTGACAAAGGCTAGAGGTTAGATTTTTGGCATGAATCATTGGGTAATGGAACTCTACCAAAATTTTAAAACTAGTAGATGATCCCTATTGATTTTTAGGTCACTAGGTCAAAGGTCAAGGTCACAATAACCTTAAATTTTAAAATGGTTTCCGCATATTCTTATGACATGAATTAATTACCAAGTTTACATACTTCATGTATTGATTGGATATAACTAAACACTTCCATGTACTCATTTACGGCATGTTTCTTCAATAGTATGAGTCATGGGCTTGAAAGGGGGGCATATGTGTCATTCGACATTCCTTGTTATATATAAAGACTCCAACTTGCCTCATTACATAGATTATATAGTTTTCAACTTGCCTCCCTTACATAGATTTTGTAGTTTTCAACTTTAACCACCATAACATACTGTGATACATTAATTGTAATCTCCAATTAGCCTTGTTGAACATTGACTATTTAGTCACCAATATCCATCACATAACTTGCACTAATTATTTAGTGCAGGTACATATGTACAGTCTGTTACATGCCCCGCCCTTTTAAGATGATGTAATAATCAATAATTATTCAATATAGACTTAATCATTGTTTGTTATCATACCATACTGAGAACATTGGACAAATGTTGTATTCAGCATGTGTAACACTCTAGGTTATATATGCTCCTTTGAAATTAATACACACATGCCTATCAAAAAGTGAAAAATAAGGCATTTTGTAGGAATTAAAACTTAATGGATGTAGATATGATCCTTTTATATTATACACCATTTGAAAGTTAAAACTTTTATTTATTGCTGGATGTAAAAATATTGGTAACTTTCCATGCCTTTCGTTTCACTTGAAATAACATAGCAGAATAATTACCCACTGTACTAGTATTTTATCATATGTATAGTTTGATATATAACAAGTTAGTAGGTAGTTCTCTTTAAAAAATGATGTGTCATTTATATAAATGGAAAATGTTACTGTTTTTATCTGCAGCCGTATCTAAATGCATAAGCTTTCAGAAAATGTTTTATTTTACTGCATTTTGATATCAGTGGTTAATAAGTTTTACTTGCTACAAGATTTAAGTTTAGCTGGCATGCATGATATGTCTATGAACTTCATGGTTCAGGTCAGCCATGTGTTACTTTTTACATATCAATGCTTTCTAATGATATGAATAGTTCATATTTATCTGTATACATGTATAGCCATTATAAGGTATTTCATGTGCTACCTTAGTACCTGATCTCCTAGTGGACTTTAGTGTTTGAAATTATTTTTTGTCCAATTAAGGATTGCAGTATTTCAAATGAATCATAACACATTTACTTTGGTAAATCGGGAAACTGTTAATCTGACTAGTAAATCGATTATTTAATATTATAATAATAATTTAAAACACTAAGCTGGCTTTGCCGCACCTGACCGATTTACCTGAATTTTGTAAATACGCAATAATAAACTTTTATCTATGCTTAAATTTATTTGTCTATGTCCCTGATATCATTATATAATTTTGATATTATTTATATATTTTTATAGTGTCATACTTTTACTACATGTTGAACATAACAGTATAAATTCATCAGGTTTAAATAGTAAATGCCTTCATACATATTAAACTCCCGATTTTATCATAATACGTGGTCTTTTTGAACTCACTATAGTTGCTGTGCTATTTATAGACTAGTGTCCATGTCAACCAGACCATGACAAGGTCAATAACAAAGAGCAAATAACTGTTGCTGCATGTTGTCAGGTTTTCCCATAATGTCAAGGTCATTCATGAGGAAAATTTTCCTCCACAATCTAGAGCATGATCATATTGAGAAATTTTCCTGTAATAACTGTTACATTACAGTGTTCATGAAGTCATTTGTATCCTTGCTAGTGAGTGGTTTACTTGTCTCTTATATTGATAGTGAAGTTATATTATATATTGTAATAGTGGGAATTGATGAAAAAATTAATAAATGATATTATAATACGTTTTTCACACACTGTGATTTTTCAGGTTGTATTATATAAAGGACATTCAACTGTAAGGTAAATTTGTAGACTGGCTACATACCAGTTTGAGTAGAAAATGAAAAAATGAATAAATAATGAAATAATGTTATTTTATTGCATGTTCATTAGTATATAAATAAGAAAATAAGATATATATAATGGAGGATTCTGCAGTGTCAACACAAGGACAAATACTGAATTATTTATGAACATGAGTTTTAGATTATAATATTACTGCAGTATTATACAGTTATATATATTAATGAACTGATAGGTTGTCTAAGTGTAATATTGTTATATGATAAACATGTACACTTTCATGAATGAATCATTCAATAATCATTATAATGATCTGCATGAAGGTCAAGTATTGACCAAAACTAGTAAAAATCAATAAAATATTTTAAAACCTGTCCTAGTGTTGGCGTGCATAACTTGTGTATTTTATACTCATAATGATAGTAATTATTTATAATTTGATAAATCAATTTTATCATTAACCCATAACCTGTTTACCTTCTCTACAAATATAAAAGAAGTAAAATGAGATAATCTGCCAGTCAAGTTAACATTGCAGATTTAATTTAAATTGGCATTTAGTGATAATTGAATATATGTTATATAGAACATGACCTATGTAGCGTGATATTTACTATACTAGATAAACTTTATAAACGTGACATTTTGTTGTATGTCAGCGGTGTACTAGAAATATGATCTCTCTGGCACACTGACACATTTTAGTTTAACCCATATAATTTATCTGACGACAGAAGGCAGCTGCGGCATTTTTTATGACACTGTCCTACTGCATGCTTTCAGTCACATTTAAAAGAATCATCACATATTTGATGATGTTACACTTAATTGTATAATAAAATGTTAACAGCCTATGATGTTGTGGACTGTTAATGTATTTATTGTCAAATATTTTTTAATGTGTAGTTAATACAACTTTTTTGGGTAGAGGTCTGAAAGTTTTGATAATTCAGTTTATTAGTAAAGTTACAAAATAACAATATAAATTTCAGTGATAGGACATCCGTCCAGTGAGAATTCAGTAAAGTGGAAAAAAAACTTTTTTTTTTAGTGAAAGAAGCATTAAATTGTTGAAATTTCAATGAAATAATTTTAAATGCTACCTAGGGAAATTTAAAGCAGCGTGCCAAAATTTTGAAAAAGTATTTAAGAATTAAATATTGTGCAGTGAACCAAGAAAGTTATTTACACATTGCAAATGGCACTTACAAGCCACTTAAGTCAAAATATGGGAAGAAAAAGTCACACAGTAGAAATATGGAAAATCAGCCAATAATAGCATTTAACATTTAAATTATTATTCTAATCTTGAATCTTTTTACATTTCTTAAATTCATGATACATGTACATTTTTCTCAACCTTGATTTCATCTGGAGAAATGCAATTTTAATAATAATTCATGCAAGCTTTGACATGAGTCTGTTCCTTGGTATACTCACCTGTGTTGTTTTGTGTGTGCCTGGTTATTTCTTCTGCTACAATCTTATGTTTGTAACAACCTAGTTTTACAATTCTTTTGGACAGTTAAGAAGAAGTGGTAATTTTTAATGGTTGTCAAAATGGCAGTTTGGTGTATGTCTTCCGATTATGCTTGTCCTGGAAGTAACCATGGGGTATGTCATTAGTTGGCATAATTTCAAATAACTTAGCACAAATGTTCACAATAATGAGACGGCATGTCATGAGCAAGAATCTTGTGGCAAGGTCAAATGTCAAGGTCATACTTAAAGATCAAATGCAAAAAAATGATCTCGAACAGGTTGTCCTCACCATAATTCTATCAATAGCTGGTGGAATTTCAAAATTTTCAGCATCATGAGATTATGTGTCGGGTGCAAGTACCCTATGGCAAGGTCAATGGTCAAGGTCATACTTTAAGGTCAAATGCAAAAAATGGTCTCAAACAGCTTGTCTGCACCATAACTCTATCATCACTAGCTGATGGAATTTCAAATAAGCTGGCACAAATGTTCAACATCATGAGATGGTATGTAGCGTGCAAGAACCCTATGGCTAGGTCAAGGTCTTACTTTATGGTCAAATGCATAAAATGGTCTCAAACACCTTGCCTACAACATAACTCTATCACTAGCTGGTGGAATTTCAAATAAGCTGGCACAAATGTTCAACATCATGAGATGGTATGTAGCCTGCAAGAACCCTATGGCTAGGTCAAGGTCTTACTTTATGGTCAAATGCATAAAATGGTCTCAAACAGCTTGCCTACAACATAACTCTATCACTAGCTGGTGGTATTTCAAATAACCTAGCACAGATGTACAACATCATGAGACAGCATGTCGCACACAAGAACCCTGTGGCTAGGTCAAAGGTCAAGGTCATACCTCAAGGTCAGATGTGACAATGGGCTTGACATGTTACCCTCAGGCATCTTGTATAAACATAGTTATTTCCTTTTTAGATAACCTGTACAAGATGGCAACTATGAATGGTGTGTCTAATGGTGTGGAGAATAGAGCAAGCAATGGTGTATTGAAGAGAGGTCAGCAAGAGACAAACGGTCACTCACAACATAGTGCTGCTAAAAAACTCACAGCAACTAACGGTGCAACAACTAACGGAGCCACAGCAAAGAATGGGGAAACAATTCCTGGCAAGTCAGATCTTGAGTTCTTAAGAAACGTGGTTGACCTTGTGATACAAGATGGGCTGATTGATGCAATGGATAGAGACACGTGAGTTACCTAGTTAAATATTGCTTCATGGTGCCATTAAGTTAGCACCATGACAATATATATAAATAACATGACTTCCTTCTATTTCCTGTAGTTTCCATCATTATAAAGATATATTAGAATGGGAAAGTTGCTGCCAACTGATTTATGTTTACAATTTTATTCCAGACATTTCAACGTGAAAAGAGCAGTCATTTTATCTTTTCTTACTTTTTATAGCACTTCATGTTACCATTTGTTAGCAGAACAGCACTGGGTTTATTTTCTTTATGTTTTTGTACATGATGTGTTAATGCTTTGGTTTTCATATATATTTTTTTTTCAATCAGAATTTTGCATGTTATTCATACTAAAACAAAGCTTATATTTGTATGGAAAGGTTTCAGCTAAATTGTGAATTTCATTGTTGTTGGAAATTACTCATGAAGTACAGAGAGAGCTGCACCATTTAGATCTGCACTGTTATATATGTGCTAGTACAAATGTCTTCTGCTTCAAATTACTTGAGAATATTGTTTCTTGTGACATTTTTGACACTGTTTAATCATAGTATATAAAATTATCTACCCTGCAGCCTCATTTTGAAACGATGGCAGCTTCCTGTCACATGATGTCATTTGAATGGCAAAGGTCATGATGCCTTGCATCATGGGATATAAATATTCAAATAAGAATTTACAGATCTCAGGAATCAGGTGGGCATTATAAATTGTTCATTTTGTTCTTGCTGGAGAATCCCAGATGGTAACTATATAAATAAAGGCATTAATATCAGAAGGTGTAAAGTTGTAAAGCATTTAATATACAGGTGGTGGCAGTGAAAACCGGCCTGCATCTAAAAGTCAAGGTTTAAAGGTTTTAAAGTTTAAAAAACGCTGGCATTATTGTATTTGTCAGTGGGGATGTTCACTATAACAAGTCTAATTTGTTGTCTGGTATTTTATTTCAGACGTGTATGTGACTTTCATCAACCAGAGACACTGAAGGCAATGCTAAAGGAACTGAAGATTACAGATGAACCTGCCAGTGAAGACAGGCTGTTGAACATGTGTAAAGATGTTATACAGTACAGTGTCAAAACATGTAAGTTAATTAGTTTGTTCTTTATGAATCTATTCTCTTGCTATTCAGCAAATAGACTGAATCTTCACGGTTGTATCAATGCACCTGCTTATGTGGGTTCTGTTGTACAGGTACATAACCAGAAGTAAAACTGGAAGTTTCCATCACAACTTTAACTATGTCAATGTGTCTGAAATCTAACTTATTAAAAATGTGCTCATGATGTTTGATGCTGCCAGGTATATAATGTAGTTATACTGCATGATGAAGAGCAGTTTTGTTGTTGCACATTAATCATACATTCTCTGACATCAAGAGTGTTAATTATAACTGTTAATAACATACAATTAGATAATTGGTATAAGCAATCAAATTCCTGGCATTCAGCCATACACATCAAATCTTTTATAGCAACAAAGTTTATAGGAAATTTAACATTTGTTTTGAATCTGTGTTGATGTGTATGATGCTCATATTTTTTTCATACTGTGTAATGATGCTCATATTTATGATTATACTGTTTAATGATGATCATGTCATACTGTATAATAGTGATCGTCGTACTGTGTTATGGTGGTGATTTAACTGTGTGATTATGATACTGAACTGTGTTATTTACTTTCAGCCAACCCCAGGTTTTACAATCAGTTATATGGAGGTATGGATCAGTACACGCTAGGAGGTGCATGGATAACAGAGGCTCTAAACTCCAGTCAGTACACGTATGAGGTAGCCCCAGTGTTTACACTAATGGAGAAAGAGATTTATAGTAAAATGCTGCACTATATTGGATTTGATGGCGGTGATGCTATCTTTGTGCCAGGTGAATTACCTTCATAATTTACACATATAATAAATACATACTTGGCTGTTATATGAAAATCTCTCATTTTAGTCCCCCCTTAGACTAATAACCATCCAAAGATACCTTATTTGAGGAACCACTTGTCAATTTATTCAACTTATTTTCTTTAATCCACCCAACTGTCAAATTGTGCTCTATATACATGTATTGTCCTTCATTAGAATCCTTGTTATGGTTGATGTTTCTGATTCATTAATTATTACAATACACAGAAAAACCTGTGCAAAACACCATTTAGTTGACAAAAGATTGTGGTTGTTGTTATAACAAGTGTTGCTGTAGAGAGTATAACTTTATTGTAAAGTCTGTAGGAAAAGTTGAAACTGTTTTTGTTAAGAGGTGATGCTCTTTAGAGGGCCACTCTATGGGGGTTGCTCTGTAGTTTTTATCAAATAGTAAATAGTTTATAGAAGATGTATTTTATATAAAATGTACTGCTAATGTTAATATTTTCAACAATCATCTTACTGTACAAGATCACTTAAATGAGACAAATGAGAAGATTTTGTTTGCTATAATTTATACAGGTGGATCTATGGGCAACTTGTATGGAATGAATGTTGCAAGATATACCAAATATCCTGAAATTAAAACAAAAGGATTGTATGCTATACAAAAACCTCTATGTGTATTTACTTCTGAAAAGGTATGTAGCTATGTATATTCCATATTAAGAATAACTCGAAATTAAAGTCCACCATGTAAAAATTCATGATTGTTTAACCATTAGCCGAAATGTAAACATTTTACCTGTACACAAAATGAAAGAACAAACTTGTTTTACCTGTAGACAAAACATTAAAAACACATACTTTTTACCCTAAGACAAAATATAAGAGAATATCCTTGTTTTAACTCTAAATTAAACACAAAATACATAGTTTCATTATCTAATTTACATAAAAATATTTCTGTTTCAATTCCTTAAAGCTGAAACATAAAATACACTTTGTTACCTAGCTTAAATTAATAATATTTAATGTCTTTCATTTAATCAATATGTGTTATATGTATGTTTAAATTATTTGTTTAATTTTGTTTACATGAATCATTTGTTTACAAGGTCTTATATTTAAATCATTTTTTACATGTTCCTATATTTAAATCATTTGTTTACATGGTCTTATATTTAAATCATTTGTTTACAAGGTCTTATATTTAAATCATTTTTTACATGGTCCTATATTTAAATCATTTGTTTACATGGTCTTATATTTAAATCATTTGTTCACATGGTCTTATATTTAAATTATTTGTTTACATGGTCTTTTATTTAAATCATTTGTTTACAAGGTCTTATATTTAAATCATTTGTTTACATGGTCTTATATTTAAATCATTTGTTTACATGGTCTTATATTTAAATTATTTGTTTACATGGTCTTATATTTAAATTATTTGTTAACATGGTCTTACATTAAATTATTTGTTTACATGATCTTACCTTTAAATCATTTGTATTTAAATCATTTTGTTAACATGGTCTTACATTTAAATTATTTGTTAACATGGTCTTATATTAAATTATTTTTTACAGGATCTTACATTTAAATCAATTGTATTTTAATCATTTGTTAACATGGTCTTATATTTAAATTATTTGTTAACATGGTCTTATATTAAATTTATTGTTTACAGGGTCATTATTCAATCAAGAAAAGTGCTGCTATGATGGGATTAGGAACAGACAATATATTCTCTGTGAAGTCTGACAAGAAAGGCAAAATGATTGCAGCTGATCTAGATGATCAGATTAATAAAGCTATAGGACAGGTATAAATTGGTCATGCAATTGTTGTAGAATATATTGTTATACACACATAGCTAAAAGTTAAGGATGATTAGATTCTCAAATCTTTCCTATGTAAAACTATAAACAATTGTTATCATAATATTTTTTAGGGTTATTTAAATATCACCTTTGTAGTCATTGTTTTATGTTATCCAATCTTTGGCCAGACCTAGGTTTAAAGCTTCGTATAACATTCAGAATGGCAATTGTATAACATTCACATTTATTGTCACAAAAAATAACCAGCAAAGGTTTTTTTCCATCCTAAATCTTGACTTAATTACAGTCTTGCATTTTAATGCATTAAAGTTTTGGCAATATTTTAAATGTTTTCCAGTTTATCAACCCTGTAATCTCTAATTCTTTGAAAAGCTTTGTTAACAATGATGCCCTATTTTTAGATGTTAAAGCTGCTATATGTACTTTATCTTAAAAAAGTAGGTTAGTCCATTGTGACTTTATTGATTGAGCTGTTTATATTAACCAATGACCTCATCTTGAACTTATAATACTGTGTAGTACAGTAGAGCTCAATACTGTAGTCCAGTAGATAGGTCAGTATATTTCCATGATTTGATCAGGTTATGGTAAATATGCTTCCCGATTGACCAATATTTTACAGGTAAATATACCTGTGACTTAACTAGACTTTAAACTAGGTTATTTTCTTCTTGTGTTCATTTCTTGTTATTTCTTAAAAAGTTAAAAAAGAACAATCAGTTTTACTACCTTTTGAATATAAGAACTTGTGTTTATTTTTTTCTCTCAGAAACCTAAGCTTTTTAAATTTGAAAATTTTATTTCTTAACAAATTGTGTTATTTACAGAGTATTTTGTAAGAAGCAGATATTTTTTGTAGAAGTTACTTTATTTAGTAAATTAGTTACATAAATAGGTGCTTGAAATTTTTGTCTACACAATGTACAGCAAGTGGCCTCAAGGCATGTAGTGATTGTTATGCTGGAAAACTCAGCAAGATATTGGCTCCAATTTATAAGGATTTAGTGTCCTACATTCATATCACGCAAGTTTTAGCTAATATTTTGATACTTGTATCCCTATAAATCCAAAAAGTAAGGGGGAGGGGGGTGCTTCAACCACTTAAATAGCCACACCCTTTTATCATACAATATCTTGTCTCATCATACCTTCATTTTTAGTGACTTATATTGCTCTGGTAATTCATTGGCCCCATTGAACTTGATGGAGTTTTAATTCTAATGGTCAAACAATGGTCACTAAGGATATTCTTAACTTTACACATGAAAACTTGACCAGACTTTCTAGGTAAATGTCAATTACCATAGAGCAAGTTTTGTCAGTGTTACCTATATTCATGTTATTCAGGGTCTGTTGTTTTATTTTCCAGGGTTATGAGCCATTCTTTGTAAATGCTACAGCAGGAACAACTGTTCTAGGAGCTTATGATCCTCTAGATGAGATATCTGATGTTTGTAAGAAGCACGGGCTCTGGTTGCACGTGGACGGCGCGTGGGGCGGAAGTGCAGCTATTTCTAAAAAGTACAGGAGTCTTATGAAAGGCATTGAAAAGTAAGAATTAATTACTAAACTTCACATTTTACTCTAGAAAATGTTTTATTACAGCTTTCATTGATTGACTGATAAATAACGTTAGATATTTGGCAGACAGGTACCTAAAATGGACCTTTACCAAGGTTTATTATATTGAGGTCATAGGGTTATTAAAATAGTCAAATGGGCATTATTACAATAATTTGTTATACTCTTTCTCCAAGTTTGGTTGCATGTTTGAAAAATCAGTGTTGGCCAGTATTCATCAGTGTCACTTCTATTCTTGTTGTTTAATCATTTAAAAAATGAGGGAAGTGATTTGTTCTCTTAATAGACTCTGTAGATTTAACTTCAGTTGATAATCACTTCTCTTTTATGAGATAAGGGTATAATTTTGGTTATACAATCAAAGGTTTTTGACTTTTTGTTTACCTTTCAAAATCCTAGATACTTGTAAATATTTACATCTACTATTTGAAATAATGTCTTAAATAGCTTAAAAGCTTTGATAAAGTGGTAATTGCTGTATTGTACCTATATTTGTAGGGCAGACTCTATGACATGGAACCCACATAAAATGATGGGAGCACCTCTACAATGTTCAATGTTCCTCACAAAACATCCGGTATTTATAGTTTAATAGCATAAACTATACATCTTTATATATAAACTTAATTATAGACTAGACTTTTAATCTTCAGATAAGATGCAGTAAACAAAGTGTTAGATTTATATTATTGTTACTTTAGAAATAGGATGCCACATGTGAGAGCAGAACATATGTGTATTAAAAAAGAATATTGATTTTTTTATTCTACATGATAAATATGTTACAAATGTTTGATAATGCTTAGTTTGTGAGCTCTTGTTTTGTTCAGTGCTATTTTAAATAATATTTCATTCATATACTGGTGCTTAGTTAACAAGTGTTCCTGTACTCTATACCTGTACTTAATTATTATTGTGCAATAACTTGAAAACTTCTTCACATTAATATGTAGAAATAGTGTGAGGGCATGATTGGCATCAGATATAATATCATAAACCAATCATCATAAAATATACTGTATGTTTTGCTCAGGACTTAGTCACAAGCCCACGGTTGGTAGTCTAAAACCCACATTTTGGTAGACACGGTTGGTAAACCCATGGTTGTAAGACTGTATTGGTGTAATAGTATTGTTATGACTATATTAAAGTATTTTTTGTTAATTTCAGGGTGTATTACAAGATTGTCATTGTGCTAATGCCCGGTACCTGTTTCAACAAGACAAGAACTATGATGTCTCGTATGACACCGGTGATAAATCTCTACAGTGTGGTAGAAAGATAGATGTGTTCAAACTATGGATGTTATGGAAGGGGAAAGGAGATAGTGGCATGGAGAGAGATATAGATCATCTGTTTATGTTGTCAAGGTTACATCATCTTCTACTTATCTAGTTATATTATATGTTACAACATGATAGTATTGCTTCAATCAGAAAATAATGCTTCAATCAGAAAATTATGCTTCTATCTGTTGTGCTGGCATATTTTACTGTTGAACAGTGTACATATCATAAACTGCTGTTTTAACAATTAATTACCCCCATCTTCATGTCCTCCATCTCTCAAGTTAACATAAACAAGGTTAAGGAAACTCTACATGAGTTTGTAATTTCCTAAAGTAAAGTCATTTAATTTTTTGTTTTGATGGTTTTGTTAAAAATAACATGATGGTCAATATTTATATGTAATAGATAAGTCAGTTTATGTTTTATATACATGTACACATGTATATTGATTGTCAACATTTATATTTGAACAGATATTTATCTGAAAAGTTAAAGAAGACACCAGGGTTCAGACTTATACAGGATCCAGAGTGCACTAATGTATGTTTCTGGTATATACCACCTAGCTTGAGAGGTCAACAGGAGACCAAAGAATGGTGGGATAAACTTGCCAAGGTATGTCATTATAATTTACCTTGTCTCTACCGTATTACATGACCATGCCAAACAGTTAAAGGGACTCCACTAAGTCAATAATTGTGAAAATGATCCAACACTCAGTGAAGATCCTTTAAAATAGCTGTGGAAAAACATTGAACAGTAGTATGTCAGATTTTGTATTTGTTATTTTAAGGAGAATTTGTCTTAAGATAACACTTTGATGGTCAACACAGTAAAGTTGCTTGCATTGAATTAAGTGATGGAATCTTCTTAACTGGACAATAATTAGGAAATGTGAGATAGAGACACTATTGATCTTTCCAGACAATAGTTGAAAAATCACCTTGACCTGAAAAATCACCTTTACCTGTAGGATAGACAAGTGGTATATATATCCCATAAAAATATTGAGATAATATTTTGTTTAATTATTCATACTTCAGGTTGCCCCAGCAATTAAAGCCGGAATGATGCAGTGTGGTTCGATGATGATCGGATATAACCCAGACGGAGATCTCGTCAACTTTTTCAGAATGGTTCTCTCAAATTTTGACACAACAACAGAAGATATGGATTTCCTCGTGCAGGAGATAGATAGACTAGGCCGTGATTTGTGATTGCAAAAAAAACCCTAAAGATAAGAAAAAAAGAAAAACAGTGATAGTTTTAAGGTTGTTTCTATATATGTAACTAAATCAACATAGTGCTACTCATGTTATTTCACTAGTCAAAACATTATAGTGAAGATCTCTATCTATACCTGCATTGATATTTTGGATACTTTAACATGCTGTACATATACTGCTAGTTACAGTATACTATATTAGTAGATCACCAGAGCTAACTCTGGGTGAGCTTTTAAGATTGTTAAATGTCTGTCCTTCTTCCACGTTTGTTTGTTAACACTTTAGCGGTCACATTTTTGCCTCAATCATCATCAAACTTTGTCAGGATGCTTGTCTAGGTAATTGCTTGGATGAGTTCGAACATGGGTCATCTCGGATGAAAAACTAGGTCACAGGAGCTAAAAATAGAAAAATCTTGTTAACACTCTAGTGGTGGCTGCTGTTTTGATTCAAATATTCTGGAAATTAGTCTGAAAGTTTGTTTTGATGATTTCTAGGTCAAGTTCGCATATGGGTCACCTGGGGTCAAAGACCAGGACACACCACCAAAATATGGAAAAACCTTGTGAACACTCTGGTGGTCACATTTTTATGCCACCGCAGCATCTGCGATGCGGTGGCATATAGCGATTCACCTGTGTGTGTGTTTGTTTGTGTGTGTGTGTGTTATATAGATTATATAGTGAACTTAAAAAATCTTCTTGTGAAAAACCACTAGTCCAATTTCAACCAAACTTGGCAGGATTGATCCTTGGGTGAAGGGCTTCCAAAGTTGTTGAAAGAATTTCATTCCATGCAGAAATCTGGTTGCCATGGCAACCAAAAGGAATTATAAGAATAAATTTAAAAAATCTTCTTGTAAAGAACCAAAAGGCCTAGAGCTTAGATATTTTGCATAAGGCATTGTCTGGTAGACCTCTACCAAGATTGTTCAAATTATAGCCCTGGGGTCAAAATCGGCCCCGCCCCGGGGGTCATTGATTTTCACTATATGTACATATAGCAAAACCTTAAAATACCTTCTTGTAAAGACCCAAAAGGCCTAGAGCTTAGATATTTTGCATAAGGCATTGTCTGGTAGACCCTTACCATGATTGTTCAAATTATAGCCCTGGGGTCAAAATCGGCCCCGCCCCGGGGGTCATTGATTTTCACTATATGTACATATAGTAAAAACTTAAAATACCTTCTTGTAAAGACCCAAAAGGCCTAGAGCTTAGATATTTTGCATAAGGCATTGTCTGGTAGACCTCTACCAAGGTTATTCAAATTATAGCCCTGGGATCAGAATCGGCCCCGCCCCGGGGTCATTGGTTTTCCTTATATGTATATAGTAAATACTTAAACATGACTTGTAGTAAAAACTTAAAAAAAATTTCTTCTAGTAATTGACAAATGCTAGAGGTTAGATATTTTGCATGAAACATTATGAAATGAACTTCTAGCAAGATTGTTTAAATTATAGCCATGGGGTCAAAATTGCCTTTGCCCCGGGGGTCTATGATTTTCAATATCAACATATAGTAAAAAAAATCAAAAAATCTTATTGTCTGAAGGTACAAGGATTAATGCGGTGGCATAGCATTTTTCTCAAATGCAATCTTGTTTACTCAATCATCATTAAACTTTGTCAGGATGCTTGTCTGGGTAATTGCTTGGATGAGTTTGAACATTGGTCATTTCGGATGAAAAACTAGGTTAAGGAAGTAAAAATAGAAAAATCGTGTTAACACTCTAGTGGCTACTGTTTTGATCCAAATATCCTGGAAATTGGTCTGAAAGTTTATTTTGATGATTTCTTGGTCAAGTTCGCATATGGGTCACCTGGGGTCAAAAACTTGGTCACACCAATCAAATATGGAAAAACCTTGTTAACACACTAGTGGTCACATTTTTGACTCAACTGTCATGAAACTTGGTCAGGATGCTTGTCTAGGTAATTGCTCGGATGACTTTGATGGGTCAGGTGAGCGATCTAGGGCCATCATGGCCCTCTTGTTATTATTTCATGCTGAAGGATAATGTGGGAACCCAACCACTGTTAATATGTTACTTCATTTCTATGCATCTAAATTAATCCTTTGATTGATTGAGATATTCTTTTTGCCTGATGACTGACCTTGATAAGACTGACCTTGATCATAGCATCATCATTCTATAACATACAGCATTTATACTTAGACGCAACTCGATATATAGTAAATTGACTGGTTTGAAGATTGAATGCAGCAAATTTCACCATGATTTATTGACTGATTTTCAACATTTTTCTATGAAAACATCTTGCTTTACAATTATACCTGTATTTTATTATTTGTCAAAATATTTACAATGTTTTGTTGATATTAATTGAAAAAGTCCCAGTACAGGTGCTTGTTATATTGGTCAATTAAAGATTGATGTATAGAAAGATGTAAAGAAACAAAATCATGTATCTTCTCATAATAAGATGTTTGCGCATGTTTATTTGTTATCAATATTTATCATTTCATAATATTAGTATTTGTTTTTTATAGAATATACAAGTGTACATGTAGAAATTATTTCATTTGGCACTTTAGTACATATCAAACATGAATTTTAGCCAAATGTTTTTGATGGACATTTTTACTGAAAACAATTAGTGATATAATGGCCATTTTCTGTTGTCAAGTTGAGCTAAATGAACTATTTATTTCAAAAGATTGTCTGTTATAATGATGATTAAAATGTTAGAGTAAAATATAAAAACTGCCTAAAATATATTAGATTATCCCACTCTTTCTGTCTTTTGAACCTTAAAGAATATGTACAAAAATGTCAGCGAGTCACATGGGTTATTGATTATTTATGTGCAAGATGGAGTTATTTTTACTTTTACCAGAAACTCCCCCAATTTATAATTGGATGGGCATTATGTCATTTTTTGTGAAGTCTTTTTTTTTTTCTTTTTTTTTGTAATTTATTAAAGATCTGATTCATTTCATAGCATAATAATAAGAAATTATTAATATTTTTTATTTAATTACAAACAGTAGGGTATATTTCTTGTATCTGGTGACCAGATTTTATTTCTTGATTACAAATTGTTTATTATACAATTACACCAATGACCAACTCTTGTCTGTGATTTATTTGATCATCATTAAATACTTACAACTTACAAAACAAATCATTACATTATTCCACGTAATGTGTTAAAATATCCAAACCTAGTTTATCATTTCTTGTCGTATTTCTAGCTTTATATGCCTGAAAAATATTTTTATTTCTAAGTTAAATTTCTTGTACATGACAAAAATGACTGGGTGGACATATTCAAAATCTTTCAAAAAAGAAAATTCTTCCATAACAAAATGAAAAGTAATGAAATACAGATGGTATATACATGGCATTTATATTACATATATATATTGTTACTGGTAACAAAGTGTGAAATAAATTGTTAATATCTGTAATGTTGTTTCTACTTATATAATCTGTTCCTACATACATGTAACTTACAGCAAAAATGGTCATATAAAAGGAAGAGGTCTTGTTTATTATAGTGTCACCCCTACTGAAAGGGCCAGCCATTTTGACTTATGAGACACCTTTTGCTTGCATACCATGTACCTCCCAACTCCTACCACTATGCCAGGCACATATATGTAACTTTAAGCAAAATCCCTGGCTAAAAGGTTGAAGTACCTAACCTTTTTGTCTAAGGGGGATATAGAAATAGGCTCTGTCCGTCCGTCTGTCTGTCCTTCCGTACGAACCCAGAGGTACTTGTGTGACTTGGAGAACAATGGGTAACAGTAAATTCTCTTTGATCCTATTCATTCCGTTTTTACTTGTGTGTCTTTTTTTAAGTCTTGTGTGACTTAAAAAGGGCCAAAAAGATCAAAGGAAAAGTCACATAAGTACCATTTTGTGAGTACGTCTGGTCCATAACTTTATCATTTATCAAAGGAATCTGAAATAACTTGGCAAAAATGTTTGTTATAATAAGACAATGTGTCATGCGCAACAACCAGACCCCTACCTCCAAGGTCAAGGTCGCACTTGCTCATTCAAGGTCAACATTGTCTATTTGAGGGTATATGTCGTGCGGTCCATAACTTTCTTATCTTTGAAGGGATTTTGTAAATACTTGCCACAATTGTTCCCAATAATGAGACGATGTGTCATGTGCAACAACCTGTCACCTACCTCCAAGGTCAAGGTCACACTTGGAGGTCAAAGATTAACTTAGTCTGTTATAGGGTATATATTGTGTCCGGTCCATAACTTTTTCATAGATCAAAACATTTTGTAAATACTTGCCACAAATAGTCACTATAATAAGACAATGTGTCATGCGCAACACCTGCATCCCTACCTACAAGTTCAAGGTCACACTTAGAGGACAAAAATTAACATAGTCTGTTTAAGGGTATATTTTATGTCCGATCAAGAACTTCTTCGGGATTTTAAAATAACTAGGCACAAAAAGTCATAATAAGTAGACGATATGTCAAGTACAACACCTGCACCCCTACCTCCAAGGTCAAGGTCACACTTAGAGGTCAAAGGTTAACAGTCTGTTATATGGTATATTTTGTGTCCTGTCCATAACTTCTTCATAGATCAAGGGATTTTGAAAATACTTGGCACAAATAGTCACAATAATAAGATGATATGTCATGCATAACACCTGCACCCATACCTCCAAGGTCAAGGTCACACTTAGAGGTCAAAGATTTACATAGTCTGTTATATGGTATATTTTGTGTCCTGTCCATAACTTCTTCATAGATCAAGGGATTTTGAAAATACTTTGCGCAAATAGTTACAATAATAAGACGATATGTCATGCATAACACCTGCACCGCTACCTCAAAGGTCAAGGTCACACTTAAAGGTCAAAGCTTTACATGATTAATTTTTTAATTCTGTGTTTTATTTTATTTCTTTAATAAATTTATTGTTGCATTTGCAGATCTAGCATTGATCATAATTTTGGACTGAAAGTCCTGATATCCATACCTCAATCTTTTGAAATAGCACAATTTTATGCTTCGTATAAAAAATTTCCGAGGCGGGGAACGTTGGTAACTCTGTTACAAATTCTTGTTTAACTTTAGTTTGGATTTGCCAGGGACAACAGTTATAGAATGCAGTGAACATCGGATGCTACTGTTAGAGCTATCTCGCAAT